AAAATTGAGAATTTGAGCCTCTATGCTTCTTCTTTTCCAAAAGGTTTTCTTACATTGTACATAGCATCAAGTACTGGCCTTTTTATCTTCCTGTTGCAATTTCAATAAGCCTTCGTTTTTGTTTTATATTTTACAGGTTTGGCGGATTCTTCTTTCCAGTAGCTGGTTGCTGGTTTATAGCAGTTTGTAATGGCGGACCCAAGCTCAGTTGATGTAATTCTAGAATTTCTGCGGAGGAACCGCTTAACAAGAGCTGAGGCGGCTTTGCGCAGTGAGCTGAATAACCGCCCTGATTTGAATGGATTCCTTGAAAAACTTAACATTGAAGAAAAGGACTTGAGTAACATGCTTGTGGAAGAGAACAGGAAAAAAGCGATGAGTGAAAGTCAGGGGTCAGGTTCTCAAAACAGTGGTGAGGCTTCTAAGGAACTAATAGTGAAGGAGATAGAGTGTGGGACTAACAGAAATGGATCTGAAAGCAGATGGAGAAATGCTGCCCCAACCGGAGAGTGTAACAGGCCTAATGAATCAGTAGTGACAACTGAGAAGAACTTCACTTTCTCTAAAAGCTCAGAGGAAAATTTACTTGATTTGCCAACTTGGAGCTTCAATTCTAGCAATGGTGCTTCTGATCCTTACAAAAATGATGGTTTTGGAAACAGTGCTGGCTTTTCAGACCTTCAAATACCAGAGAAGACAAGATATCATAAAAGTGAAGCTCTTGATACTAGTAAAACAAATGAAAAATCTGAAGAAGTGATTGTCTTTACTGGTGAAAAGAAAACACCATGGCTAGAAAATGCTAGTAAAGGTAATGTAGATTCCAAGTATGATAGGATTCAAGCTGGTGAAACTAAGGAGCTTGATCAACAGGGTAAGACAATCAGCATCTATTTAAAGGAAAACTTTGCAGATAATAATGCATGGTCAAGAAGTGGGGAGCCTATAAGTTCATCTTCAGGCGTGTTTAAAGAGTGTAGTGTCAAGACTGTTCTTCCATTTCCTAAGGGGGATGTATCAACCAGTTATGGCAATGCTAGTGTACCTGACAAGAAAGAAGGAAAGAGGAAGGCAGACATGAATGATGTCAGGGCAGCGACTAAGGAACAGGTGGATGAAGTCGGAAGGGCTTTATACTTCAGCAAATCTCAAGGAAGTTCTGAGCAAAATACTACAGCGGCTTTGACGTTTCTTCTTGCATCTGATAATTCTAAGGAGGAGTTACCTAGGCTACCACCAGTTAAGCTCAAATCTGAGGACAAGTCAATGACCATAAATTGGGAGGAAAAACACGAGCATGATGGTCCAGGTGCAAAGCTAACAACTGCTGACAATGCCTTCCTTATAGGGTCATATCTGGATGTTCCTGTTGGACAAGAAATCAACTCTTCAGGTTAGTTGACGTAATTAATGTGATCAGATAATAGTCTGTTGTTAAATAATGATTTTTGTTTTGATTAGTTGTTACTTGTTATAACTAGTTATTGTTTGGATCTATGGGCTTTTTTTTTTTTTTTTTTAAATTTTAGGTTGGCTTGTTTGGACCCATGTTGCATCTGCTACTTTCGTGCTAGTGTCTTTACTTGCCACATACAGTGTGTGTGTGTGTGTGTGTGTGTGTGTGTGTGTGTGTGTGTACTCGCTTGTGCATGCACATAACAGTTTCAGCTATTTTTGATCTGTAATAATTGTTAACATTAGAAGATGCCATATACTTCTTAGCATCAAAGCCTAATTGGAGAGGAGAGGAATAGTTTTATCCGAAAACTTTATACCCTGAGAAACATTATGCAGGACTTAATACCTTCTATTCTTTTTAATCTATATAAGCCCCAAAATCAGCTTAACATCAGATAAAAATTATAATTCAAGAGTTTTTTGTATTTTAATCTGGACTTCTCTCTTCTTTTTTTCATCACTAATATAGGCAATCGATCTACTTGTTGACTTTGAGGCTTCTTTGGCATTATTCAGTGGTGTTTAGTTTCTTTTTTCCCAAGCTTTTCTTAAATGGTCCAAAATTTTTCTACCTTGCTGGTTCACTATTGTAATTTGTGTTTCAAAGTTAGATGACTGCTGGTGAGTTATGTTGCTTTGAAAATCTAATCATGCTGATGTTATTACTTTGCAGCTATAAATGAAGACATCCTGTGTTAGAAGATTGCTTAACACTAAACAAAAATTACATAAATAGCATTTGCTCTTAAGCAAGTAAAGTGAATGTTTAAGTGATTTATCTTATCAGTGCATTTTAATTTTTGCTGTTTGGTACCAGCAATGAATGTGTGTTTATGTTTGATTTAATCTTTGTGTTTCTGTCGTTTAAAACAAAATCATAATTGGTTATTGGCACTTTAAATATTTAGAGTTGATTAAAACATGCATTTAGTGCTTGTGTATGTTTCATATAGGATTGTGAGCTTTCTATCAGAGTCTTACCTTGTTTTCTCATGTAATTTCTTTTGTACTATTGGTTGATTTCCCTTGTAATATTGCAGAAGAAGCTTTACTTTTTGTTATGTTAATCCAGGTGGAAAAAGGACTATGGGAGGCAGTTGGCTGTCTGTGAGTCAAGGAATTGCAGAAGATACTTCTGATTTGGTTTCTGGTTTTGCTACTGTTGGTGATGGATTAAGTGAATCTGTTGATTACCCAAATGAGTATTGGGACTCTGATGAATATGATGATGATGATGATGTTGGCTACATGAGACAACCTATTGAGGATGCAGCCTGGTTTCTGGCACATGAAATTGATTACCCCAGTGATAATGAAAAGGGAACTGGACATGGGAGTGTTCCAGATCCACAGGAAAGCGGTCCAACCAAAGATGATGATGATGATCAGTCATTTGCTGAGGAGGAATCTTATGTCTCTGGTGAGCAGTATTTTCAGGGAAAAAATGTTGAACCAGTTACAGCTTCAGATGATCACATAGGACTCTCAGTGCCTGAGATGTATAGGAGGAGTCATGAAAATGATTTAATTGCTCAGTATGATGGACAACTAATGGATGAAGAAGAGCTGAATTTGATGCGTGCAGAACCTGTTTGGCAGGGATTTGTTACGCATACAAATGAACTAATCATGTTAGGCGATGGCAAAGTGCTGAATGAGTGTGGGAGATCTCGGCTGGATGATGTTTGTATTGATGATGATCAGCATGGCTCAGTTAGGTCTATTGGTGTGGGAATCAACAGTGATGCTGCTGATATTGGAAGTGAAGTGCGTGAAAGTTTGGTTGGAGGCAGTAGTGAAGGGGATTTAGAGTACTTCCATGATCAAGATCTTGCAGTTGGTGGGTTGAAAGATTCTCTTGACAGGGATAGAAAACTTATTGATAGATCAAGGGATAAAAAGCAAATCAGTAGGAATGATTCCAATAAATATGTAGTTGGAAATGATAGAGGTGCATATACCCAGGCGAAGAATCCAGTTGATGGTTTTTCTTTTCCACCTCCACTTAGAGATGGACAGTTGTTGCAGTTAGGCTCTAGTAAGTCTTTATGGTCAAACAACTGCAATGCTGTTAGTGATGAAAATGATGACCATTTGAATGCTTTGATGGGGCCTGATGATATGCTTGCTACATGGAGGCGGAAAAGTAGTGATTCTTCAACTGGCAAAAGTTCTAGAGATGAAAATAATGCCAATGCTGTAAGATCTGCAAATTCTTCTCCCTCATCACTCTCTAATTATGGTTATGGTGAACCAGAGCATGCTCAGAAAGAAGATGAGAAAATTCGTGGCGTGAGAGAAGAAGATCCAGGGGCATCAGTTGAGGATGAAGAGGCAGCTGCTGTCCAAGAGCAAGTAAAACAAATAAAGGCTCAGGAGGAGGAATTTGAGACCTTCAACCTCAAGATTGTGCACAGAAAAAACAGGCATGCCTTATAAATTATTATTATCTTTGCTATAAGTCATCTCTGTTTTGTGAGGCTGTTGTTTATATCTAGATCAAATTTCAAAAGTTGTTAATTCCAAAAGTCTTCTGTAACTCTTGATCTCTAGTTTCTTGGTAAGATATGAACTATATTTTAACTTTTCTGATGGTGCTTCAATCTAATTCTGATTGAGGATGGTGAGCGAAAGTTGGTTGGCTTTATCCTCCTTTACAACCATTCTCATGGAAACAAAAAGTTTGGAAATCTTTACCTGGTTTTTGTGCACACCGTTTAATGTCTAGTCTAATGGACTAGGATCCAGCTTCTGCTAATCAGATAATTAGTTATCCCTTTGCTGGTGCTTTTTCCGTTACTAAACATCTATCTAACCTCTTGATTTAATCTATTTTTGGGTTTGTATTTTGTGGTATCTTTTTTAATCTATTTGTTTTTCACTTTCTTTCTAATTTTTGGGAAAATAATACACTAAGAATGGCTTTTATAACTTGACCTATAAATTTCAGTTTGTGTCTTTCTTTAGAAAGAAAAGCATGGTGTGTTTTCAGGAAGACGTGATCTTCTGCTAGGAAAAGCTACTTTGTGAGATAAAATGTCACTACTTACAGTCTTCTGGCATTTTCTCTGAAATTCACTTGCTTAATTATGATATCAAAGGTCTTTTCTTTTTTATAGAACTATATAATTGTTCCCAACGGCCTTCTTTAAATATATTCCTTACTTTCTTCAGAACTGGCTTTGAGGAGGACAAGAATTTCCATGTTATTCTAAATTCTGTCATTGCTGGCCGCTATCATGTGACTGAGTATCTCGGATCAGCTGCATTCAGCAAAGCCATACAAGCACATGACCTGCACACAGGCATGGATGTCTGTGTGAAAATTATAAAGAACAACAAGGATTTCTTTGATCAAAGTCTGGATGAGATAAAGCTTCTCAAGTATGTCAACAAGCATGATCCTGCTGACAAGTACCACATTCTCCGGCTGTATGATTACTTCTACTACCGAGTAAGTGAATGAATGGGTGTATGCTATGACCTGTGATCTTTTTCTTCTTCATGCAGCTTTAATTTTTTCTACCATTGTTGATTGTTTGTGTTGAGTCTGTGGCCATACACTGGTTTTCAATCCCTTTCAATATGCTAGAGTTTTATAGTTTTCCCATATAAATTGATTTACCAACTGTTATCACCTGGCCTCAAAAACTCAAAACCTCAAAATTTTAATATTATGGTTTAAGTTAATGAACTGTTCACTAAACCAATATTGTCCTCTTAATACCTAAGCTGTTTAATTCTATTATTTTATAACTGTGCAACTTATGTAGAATGAACAATACTTCTAAATACAAAACAGTTGTTGATATTAACTCTTATTACTTACATTGGGTGATTAAACAGGCTCCAAGTTGACAAAAAAATTTGTCATTACTAATTGTTTATTTGTTATTGTTGATGCTTTAAGATGCTGCTTGTAATTTCTTTCCTGTGTATGTTTCCATTGATGCACATGTGTCTTGTGCCATTTGTATGGTATTTACTTCTTTCAATGCTCTGGTGCATTTTAGCTTGTTCCGTAGTAAATCCTTGTCTGTTGTGGCTTGTGGGTTCTATTGAAGCAGTTAGTTATCTGAAGTGATTCCCTTTGCGTGAATTTGTAACAAGTTCTGACTTAAGTAAAAGCTGATTTCCCTTTATTTTCCAGGAACATTTGTTAATAGTATGTGAGCTTCTCAAGGCAAACTTATACGAGTTTCATAAATTTAATAGGGAATCAGGGGGCGAGGTTTATTTTACGATGCCGAGATTACAGGTATAGTTGGTGTCATTTTTTACAATAATCTGCTATTTGATATGTCCTGCTGTTTTCTCATCTTCCTTCGAAATGTTCTGTGCAGTCAATTACTATTCAATGTTTGGAGGCACTGCAGTTCTTGCATGGTCTTGGCCTTATACATTGCGATCTAAAGCCTGAGAATATATTAGTGAAAAGCTACAGTAGATGTGAGGTCAAGGTTATTGATCTTGGGAGTAGCTGTTTTGAGACAGATCATCTATGTTCCTATGTTCAGTCCAGGTCTTATCGTGCACCAGAGGTTATCCTGGGACTTCCATATGATAAGAAGATAGACATTTGGTCACTTGGCTGCATCTTGGCAGAACTCTGTACAGGCAATGTAAGTTTCATGCCATTTAGATGGTTATTTTCTTCTGCAGTAATATATGAATTAAAAGATGCTTAAAGTTCAGCTTGACTCTTGTATCTTCTCAGCACAATTTTTGTCACTTGAAATTCAGGATACATTAATCTCTGTAAATAATTTACCTGAACTGTTGCAACTGGTCACTTCACAATGTTTGATGCAAATTGGTTTAAATGGAACTTGCTTTGTGTGTAGGTCCTTTTCCAAAATGACTCACCTGCAACATTACTTGCAAGGGTTATTGGAATCATTGGTCCCATTGATCAAGACATGCTTGCCAAAGGACGTGATACATACAAATATTTCTCTAAAAATCATATGCTTTATGAACGTAATCAGGTAGGTTTCAGTTCTTTTATTTTTTATTGCATTCATTAGGCAATTGAATGTATGAAAGTAGTAGACTTGTGACAGCTTGATTATGATTATAATTACTGGCCCAAAAAATTGACAATATTGTTAGTAACTAGTTGTGGTAAGACATTCCGTTGCATTTAGTTGTGCTACAAAAACTAAATAATAATATTATGTCATTGTATTTTGGTGGTTAGTGTTCAGGTTGTCTCTTTACCATAGATTTTGATGTGTCCATTGAGCTTAAACATAATTTTTGCTTCTGTGGAATTGGGTATGGTTTTCTATGAGGCCTATCCAGATGTTTTTTATTTCTCTTCTCCTCTCTTTCATAAATTAAGGCTTAAGTTAGTATCTTCAATTCTTTGACTTGACTGGTGTTTGATTTTATGTTCACCAAATATTTTTCACTCAGGAGGATGTTCCTATAAATTTCAGTGCATAGATTATATTTTAGGTGGACAGTACCAATATTAATTCTTATGAGATGTTACATAAACTGAAATGCCTTGTACACATTCCCATGTTTATATCTTAATTGTACATGTTGCTTGTATTATTCAGGAAAGCGACCGACTGGAATACCTGATTCCAAAAAAGACATCTTTAAGGCATCGTATGCCTATGGGAGACCAGGGTTTTATTGATTTTGTTGCTCATATGCTTGAGATAAACCCAAAGAAGCGCCCTTCTGCATCTGAGGCTTTGAAGCACCCATGGTTATCATATCCATATGAGCCAATATCAGCTTGATTCGTCTAAAGATGACATGCTGAATCTGCCCTAGTACTTCAGCCACGTGTCTTGTTGAGAGGAACCATTTTCGATAGCTTAACTTCTGAAATTGGTGTTCCATTGATCCATGGAGCGCTTTTGTCATATGGCAAATTGCATTGGTCTTTTCGTCAGCCCCTACCTGTATCTGAATCTAGCATTTATGAAGGATGTAATTCTGGAAGCACTGTGTATTCTTGGGGTTTCCTTCATCTCACTTGGTTTAATATAGTGGAAGGGGAAATCTAATCCTGTTGTACATGATGTGTGATAATTCAATTTTTTAGGTTATTTAGTAGAAATAGCTTGTGAAATAGTGGGATATCCAATTTTGGTTGGCTTGTGAGCTTCGTATTGTGAGCGTATTTGACGTTTGGACGAAGCCGGTTGAAATAGAGTTTGATTTGGTGCTGATGTTTTGAATTTGCAGCATGCGACGGGTGAGATGGGTGATGAAGCTTTGAGTTTGAAAAGCCTATGAGAAGATAAAATTGAAATTGTGGGGACTCGTTATTTATTCGCTAATTATTATCAACCTTTTTAGTTTTTTCTTCTCAGTTTCAATGCTTAACAGTATTACAAAAGAATTTCTCATTTCGAAAGAGAAGTAATGTTATGATACACGAGTGCTCCACTGTGGATTGTTGGATTGGAATCCCATATCAAGCATGTGGTAGCATTAGAAGGGCTTTTGTTCTTCTCTGCTGGGAGGTGCGTTAAATGTAATTTCGAGCCCGATGTTTGCTATAATTTCAGAATCATTGGTAGTGTTGGATGTGATCTTGTACGGTTATACCTGAAGGTCCATCTAAGTTCATGGAAGGAGAAGGAGATCAACCAGTGGAACTGGAAAGTAGTTAGATAATCGATTTGATTTTCCTGAACTGTGAAAGCAAATCTCTAACGGAACTTTGTTTCTTTAGTTGTTATTATTTTGGTCTAACCCTTCAAAACATATTGTGAACAGAGAGAGAGAATTCTAAAGTACAACGAAAAAGCTGAAAACATTGTCCAGAAGACACAATAGATTGAAGCAGAACATTCAGGAAACACTCAAGGTCTCTATCACAAAAGGCAAAAGCAATCAGATATTTCCTAGAGCACGTACTCGAGCTTTCCTAATCTTCCTTGTTCTTTGATTCCGTTGGACACCAACCAAGCTCACGAACCATTTTGGTTTTCCAGTTTGGAAGACAAGGTACCCCATCAACAATCCAAATACGACTCCACATCCGTAGCCCAACAGCACAACTCTCCAACCGAATCCCCACAGCTCATCTTTTTCATGGAAGGAGCCTTGTGGTTTCTGTCGCGTCCCATTTGCATCACAAGTTTTTGTTAATGGAAATCCACATAATCCAAGGTTTCCTTCATATGAACTGTTTTCAAAAGTGTTGAATTGATTGCCTAGCGGTATGAGTCCAACAAGTTGATTATTGGAAAGGTTCAGATCAGAAAGTGATGTCAAAGATACTAATTTCTGAGGAATTTCCCCAACTAGCTCATTTGAAGAGAGGTCCAACCATTCGAGATTGGTCAAG